GTCTTTTTGAGACAGGGTCTCCCTGTATCCCCAGCTGGCCTGGAACTTACTACTACGTAGACCAGGCTGGCCTTGAACTCAGAGATCCACCTGCCTCTGCCTCCTGAGTGCTGGGATTAAAGGCATGCGCCACCACACCCAGCTTAGTTGGTATATATTTTTAACGGTATGACCTGTGTGGCTGATCTTACTTGCACAGTTGATATGTTTATACATACCTTGAAGTCTTTGGCACATTTTCTATATTCAGCTACATCGCAAATTGCTAACATGCCACCCATATAACCATAGGAATATTGTTGAAGATGCTCATAAATAAGCCGATGAAAACGTACTCCAAGTTCCATCAAAACTGTGTCCACATTTTTCCCATCCATGGAATTTTTAATCTTCTCAACTTGTTTTCTTACATAAGCACAGACTTTTACACAGGCCTGTAAAAGTTTTTCTATACTTATTATACAGATATATGTATCAGCTTAGAAAAAAAAATACAGCTTCTCAATTTCTAAGTTATAAACCTAGGGCACAATTAGGTGCACTGATGAAAGTGTTAAAGTATTAACAATGGAGATAATTTTATTAGCAAATTGAATAGCATCACTCACATTAGTATACTGAATCAAAACATTGTTTTCATCTTCTGGTTTAAAATCTGTTTTCTTTTGTTCTGCAGCCAAGATGTGCTTCATCTGTCCAATCATGCAATTCAATGTCCTAGAGAATTGAGAACACAGTATATATAACTTTAACTTACTTAAGTTTACCTTTGTATTATACTAAATGAAGTTAAAATTTAGTTTCATATCACCACAAAACTACTTTGCTATTAGCGAACTTCAAATTTTAGAAAAAAGGTCAATTCTATTACTCGATATAAAAAAAAGCTCCTGATTTTATCATCTTCTACTGTTGAAAGATCTTAGAAACTCATCACTAATTTATTTCCTTCATAACTAAGGATCTTCCAAGGCAAAGCATACAAAAAGAATATATAAGAAGGTAGGAAGACAGAGGGCATAAGAATGGCCATGGTTTGGAAAAGCGGTTGGTAGGAGCATGAGTCCCATAGTTTAAGGACAATCAGGAAGATGGGCAAGTGGGACTAAAAATCCACCTGAGAAATAGCAAACAGATTTATAAGGTACCAATAATATCTAGTTATATGATACTGTCCAATAGTAAGCAGTCACTTTGTTTATGTGAATAAACGAAACTGCACTAACCCAGAGTTTGGGGTCCGCAACACAGTTGTGGTTGAAGAGAATGAATTTTAGGTTAAGTACATATTAATAATTCAAGAGAACAACCATACAATTATAAAACACAATAGCAATGACATCAAGTTATGAAAGGAGAGCAGATTGACATAGAGGCATTAAAGGATAGAAGTCTTGTTGAAGTCAGAAATCAAGTGTATGGAAAATTAAGACATCTGAAAAACAGCAAGTTATAGGTACAGAATGGGCCATGTAGGTTCAAGGTTTTTCTCATCAATGATACCATGGCCTGGTGAAACATGGGAGTAGTTAAGTGAAAATAACCAATAAAATGAACGGTTTATGTACGTGCATGTGAAAAATCCTGACTTAAAAGAAAAACTGTGAGACAGATGCCTAAATCCTGAATAAATGCACAGCATTAATATAAAAAAATTGAAAGATGACAGAAATAAAAAAAGAAAGATACGAACTTCAAAGACAAAGGAGTTCTGGCTCAATAGAGGAATACTGGTTTGAAAATATCTGCAAGGATGTTAAGTGAATGCTGAGCCTGTACTCAAAGTCACATTTGAGAGAACGACACTGACCTCTATGCCTTTAATATAGTAACTACTGAAAAGAACTTGAGATTAAAGCTTATACAGAAAGGTGAAAATAAATAGTCCAATTTATTAAGACAGTCAGGACATATATACTTCATATGCTTTTGAAAGCTTCTGCATGTCCCCAAAATGATTTTTGAACTAACGGAAGAAAAAAACAAATTAATGTATGGGATTTGGCTAGAAAACTAAACACTTTTCTTAGATGTAATACTTATACATAATCTACGTAAACAGTAAAATATTAAATGTTCTATTTATAATCTAATATGGTCCCGACTAAAACCAAAATATTATACATCAAAACATTGGATAACCAAAAGAAAAGGAAAAATTCCTAGAAATCACATCCCACTCAAACTGAATGAGGAACAAATTAGAAAATATTAACAGAGTAATAACAAGAAAAATGTTACAGGAAATCAAAAACCTCTCAACAAAGAAATGTCCAGGACAGATGTCTTGAATTTCCTTAATATTTACTGTTGAATGCTACCTAATACTTAAGGAGGAATTAGCAATCTTTCTCAAATTCTTCACAATACAGAAGGGGAAATATTTCAAACAACACCACAGTCAGACAAGGACACTATAAGAAAATTACAGACCAGTATTAGTAGTAAACTTAGATGTAAGCCATCATTATATATATATATATATATATGTGTGTGTGTGTGTATACATAAAATGTATACATTAAGTACTATATATGTAATGTATACTTTATATTCACATATAATGTGCAAAAGCTAAAATATAAAGAAAAAAACTAGCATACTAAATTCAGTAGCACATTGAAAGGATCATATACCATGATCAAGCAGGATTTATCCTTGAGATGCAAATATGATTCATCATAGGTAAATCAATATGCATGATGGACCAAATCAGCATAATGAAGTTGGTAAAAAAAAAAAAATCTTACGATCATTTGAAGAGATACAGCAAGAGCATTTGGAAAAACAATATCTTTCATGATAAAAGTTCTCAACCAATTAATAGAAGGAATCTGCCCTAATATAATGCAGGTCACATATGATAAGCTCATGGCCAATATCATGCTCAACAGTAAAAAGCTAAAAGCTTTTTCTCTAGTTCAGAAACAAGACAAAGTTGCCCCCTCTTACACAAAAATAGCACACGAAGTCAGAGCAATTAGGCTAGAAAAAAGGAAATGCATCTGAACTGGAAAGGGAGATGTCATCTCTACAGGTGACAAGATCCTATTAGAAAACTGCAAAGGTGTCACTTAGAAACTATCAGAGAGGCTGGAGAGGTAGCTCAGCTGTTAATAGTGCTTCCTGCATACTATGTAACTGAACGAAGCTTTTTAGATTTATTTTTGTTGTTAGTAACATTCAGATTGTTATTTCTTTTTTCAATATACTGTTTCCTTCAGAAAGACTCATTTTTAAAAAATATTTTGTTATTTTTATTTTATGTGTATGGGTGTATTGCCTACATGTATGTGAGTGCACCCATGTCATGCAATGCCACAGAGGTCAGAAGAGGGCTTTGGACCCTGAAACTGGAGTTAAGGATGGTTTGTAGCTGTCATGTGGGTGCTGGGAAGCGAACCTGGGTCCTGTGCAAGAGCAGCCAGTGCTCTTAACTGCTGAACCATCTCTCCAGCCCCTTGTTATTCTTTATTTATTTATTTTTTTAAGTGCTTTGTGCATCCAGAAGAGCCAAGTTTGGCACTTCACAACCACCTCTAACTCCAGCTCCAGGGAATCTGATGCCCTCTATTGGCCTCCACAGATACTGCAATACAAACTCACATGCTCAGGGATGGGCGCAGACACAACAAATGGAAAGAAATCTTTAAAAAAGAAACATTTAAAGTGAGTACGTGAATTCAGTAAAATTACAAAATATAAAATCAACACACAGAAATAAATTGTTTTGTACAGTAAATTATCTAGAAAAATAATGAAAATTTCATTTATAATAGCACCAAAAAGAATAGAATGCTTCAGAAATTAACCAAGGAAGTAAAGGATTTGTACAATGAAAACTAAAAAACAAACACTGCTGAAAAGAATTAAAGATGTGATAAACAAGTAAATTAACACTGGATTCATGGATCGGAAGTTCATATAACAATATTAACTACCCAAAGTGCTATAGAGCTTCACTGTATTCCCCGCCAAAATTTCAAGAGCTTTTTAAAAACAGAAATATAACATTCATTTGAATCACAAAAAGATCCTGAATAGTTAAAGCAAAGTTGAGCAAGGACAACTAGAGGCATCACATTTCCTGACTGCAAAATACATTATACATGAATGATTAAACAGTATGATACTAACAAAAAATATGACAGATGGAATAGAACAGAGCCCAGGGACAAATCCATGCATTTATCAGCCACAAGCTTTGACAAGGGTGCCAAGAAAACACAATAAGGAAGGAAGGCTCTTTGTCAAATAGTGGCACATTTTGTTTTTGATATGACTTCGGAATCTCAGGACTCAAAAGCAAAGTTATATAAATCAAAGTACATCAAACTAGCCAGGTGCACACCTTTATCTCAGCACTCAAGAGGGAGGTGATCTTTGTGAAATCAAGGCCAGCCTGGTCTACATAGTGAGTTCCAGTCCTGCTGGTGCTACAGGAAGTCCCTGTCTTTACAAAAACCACCCCCCACCCCCCAAAAAAACCAGAAAAGCAGGCTGGAGAGATGGCTCAGAGGTTAAAAGCACTGGCTGCTCTTGCAGAGGACCTGGGTTTGGCTCCCAGCACCCACATGGTGGCTAACAATCATCTGTAACTCCACTTCCAGGGGATCCAGTGCCCTCTTCTGGCTTCTGCAGGCATTGTACAACACAGGTGTGCTTACATATACGCAGGCAATGTGCTCATACACATAAGATAAAAATAATAAATAATATTTAAAAACAAATTATACAGCTTCTACTCAGGAAAAGAAAAAGCTAACAAAGTAAAAAAGCAGTTTACAGAATAGAAGAAAATAAGAAGGTGAAGATGCAGCCTCCAGTATAGCAGAAAATATTTGTAAATGATACCCTCATAAGGATTCATACACATAATATATTAAAAAAGTAAAATACACTCAATAGAAAAATCAAACAAAAAATACCCAACAGATATATAAAAAGGTCCTGAATATTATTATTCTCTTTAAGACAGGGTCTCCCTGTAGACCCAGCTGACCTGGAACTTGCTAGGTAGACCAGGCTAGTCTGCCTCCCAAGTGCTGGGATTAGAGGTGTGCACCACACCTGGCTATCACTACTTTTCAGGGAACTACAAATTAAAAAACACAAGATGCTACTTCAACTCCTGTCAAGATGGCTATTTAAAAGATAAGAAAGAAGCTTGGCTAGGTTGTAGAGAAAGAGAACTCTTGTATACTCATGCTGGGAATGTAAACTGACTCAGCTATTACAAAAAAACCATATACAGAGTCCTCAAAAACTTAATAAAACTATTATGTAATCCAGAAAACTCACTATTGGAAATATGTGTATGTATACACACAGACATATATAAAAAAGGAAATCTTGTGACAACGTGGGTGAACTAGAGGAAATTAAGCTATATGAAATAAGCTAAATAAATTTTTTTAAAAACCTTGATCTCACTATGAACTCTAAAAGTCATACTCAGAGAGGCAAATGATAGAATGGTGGTTGGCAAGGGCTGGGGAGAAGAGGTAGTAGAAGAAACAGTGAGAGAGGCTAGTCAAAGGAACCAAAATTTCAGTTTTGAAGAATAAATTCTGTAAACATAATGTACACGTGACTATAATTAATATACTCATCTCTAAATTTGCTGAGAGATCTTATGTGTTCTTACAAGAAGAAAAATGTCAACTATGGTGATGGCAAAGTTTTATGTTAGCTTTATAGGGGCAATCATTTCATAAAGTGTACATATACTCAAAGATACTGTATACCTTAAATGTATAATTTTTGTCAATTATGCACACAAGTTGGAAAAACTAAACAAGCAAAGTGAGGAGACTTGATTTTAGAATTCTTTTAAATACATTTGTCAGGAGACTCTTCTACAATTACAAGCCATAGGTAACTCAACTTCAGTGCAAAGATCAAGTGAAGGTGAATTTATTGCCAGTGAAGCAAACTGATATACACCTTCATAAATTACACCTAGACCACCTGTTAAACGGCACTGTCAAAACTCTGCATTCAACTATGCTTTCTTTCAAAATCTTGGGAACTGTTACTAAATCCAAACTGCAAGTACCCTTTACAAAAAATCATTTTATTAATATATAACAAAAATCAAACAAAAATATACTTTCCCTAATAGAAGAGAAAGAATGGTAGTAAATAAAAAGATATACCCAAACCTTATTAGGATAGACTTTAGAGTTAAGAATTCCAGGTCTACCATCATTTAATTGTATAATCTTGAGCAAAGTCACTTAATTTCTTTAACTCTCCATCTCCTCATCTATAAAAAGAAAAAAGCAGTTCCTACCTAATACATGAAACGATACTGATAAAGATCCTTGTCATGTGTCTGATACTTAGCAAATGCTCGATAACTCGTAGCTATAATAACCATCAATTAATATAAAAACACCATCCTCTCAAAACAGAGACCTGGTCAGTAATTACTGTCAGTAAACATTATAAAAAGCTTTTTTAAATTCACTTAACAGAAATTACTTCATGATAAATGGAAATATAATACTTATAACATTTTTGCTGTTTTTCCAGCAGTCCTAGAGATTGAACCCAGGGCCTCCCACATGCTAAGCAAGTTCTCGATCACTGAGCTATAAACCATGCCCTAAAATACCATTTTTTAAAAATGTATTCATATTTTATACATATGAATATTTTGCCTGCATGTATGTAAGTGCACCCATGTACTGTGCCTACGGAAGCCAGAAAAGGGCGTCAGATTCTCAGGAACTTGAATTACAGATGGTTGTTAGCCAAATGTGGGTGCTGGGAACTGAATCCAGGTCTACTGCAAAAGCAGCCAATGTTCTTAACTGCTGAGTCATCTCTCCAGTCTCAATATATACCATTTTTAAAAGCAGTTTATAGCTTGTATTTGTATAGTGTGGAGGAGGGGGGCTTAAAAAGAGGTTCTTTAATCCCCGCACTTGGGAGGCAGAGGCAGGCGGATCTTTGTGAGTTCAAGGCCAGCCTGGTCTACATAGTGAGTTCAGGTCAGCTGGGACTACAGGGAAACCCTGTCTCAAAAAGAGAAAAAAAAAAAGGAGGTTCCTAACTTAGTTTGATTTCAAAGTACATCTAAACTAAATGTTTTACAGGAATTAAAAAATCCTTGGGGATTCCATAAAAACAATGTTTATTAAGAATGACATCAAAGTGCAAAAATATCAAATTTATAGCAAGATGGTGAAATTAAGATATTCTTTCTTCTCTAAAAACTATGTTCATGCTACTATGCACATGTGTTTGTAAAATTTATTTAAATGCAAGAGAAAACAAACAGTAACTTGCCTATCAATGCCGGTATCCAATTTCATCTCCATTTGCTCAATTATCTCTTTTTTCTTCTGAAGACATTCAGATAACTTGGGAGAGGAGCTATTGCATATTAAAGAGAAAATCACATTAATAGCCTAATTTCTAAGTTTCGGATATGCACATCATAGTACACAATAGTTATGAACACATTCTAATGCCCATTATTTTAATTTGCTCACAAATCCAATCGTTACAAAATAAGTCATGGGTGTGGTGACACATGCCTTTAGTCCCAGCACTCTGGAAGCAGAGGCAGGGGGATCTTTGTGAGTTCAAGGCACAGCTGGGTCTATATAGTAAGTTCCAGGCCAGCTGGGGCTACTGGGAGACCCTGTCTCAAAAAAGGCCAAAATAATAATAATAATAATAATAATAATAACAAAATAAGACATTACTTACAATTATTATGTACATTAATGGCCCAATTCATTCACACTAGAACAATTAACTCATTAAAAGAAGACTTAAAATTGCTATTCTGATTGATGAGGAGATATCACTTAATAGAATCATGTAGTTTTGATGTTTTAGAACTAATTTTGCACCTAAGTATCTAGTATAATAGCAAGAAAAGCCACAGGTATTACCAAACTCCTAAGATAGTAAATCATACTAATGGAAATGTGGAAGGTCAATCCAGTTAATTTAGCTTTCCTAATTTTTAAAGTATTTTATTTAATGTGTATGAGTGCACTGACTGCATATATACATATGTGTGCGTGTACACACACACACACACACACACACACACACACACACACACACACATATATGCACCTGTGACGTGTGCAATGCCCATGGAGGTCAGAAGAGGGTGTCAGATCCCCCTGGAACTGGAGTTATAGATGGTTGTTAGCCACCATGTGGGTTCTGGAAACAAACTCCAGTCCTCTGCAAGAGTAACCAATGTTCTTAACTGCTGAGCCATCTCTCCAGCTCCTTTCCTAATTTTTAAAAAACACACAAAACCTAACAACCTTGCTTGTCTTCTAAACCCTACCAAAGTGTCCAAATTACCCAAAATATTAAGAAATAAGCAACACTGAAAGCCACATAAATTCTCTTCTACATGGCACAACAGCTCTTGAAAGTAAAGTGAGCTTCCTAAGCTGGGCTTAGTGGCTCTCATGTCTTTAATCCCCACCTAGGCTACAGAGCAAAACAGTCAATTCCCTTTCAAAGTGTGATTCAGGAATCACAAGTGATCTTTGGGGTTTTTATCTGGTCCAGACATATTATAACACTTTATAACAAACTGTCAAATTTTATCATTCATTGAGTATTTTCCCTCATCAATAATAGTGCTAAAGAAACAATTCTATACGGCATGTTCACATATATATCATCTCATTTAATTCTTAAATGCTATAAAAGTCCATATAAATTAATATGAACCAAATCTCAATGCCTTAACAAAATATGCTCACTGATGCTTTTTGTAGGTTTTTATATTGTAACAAGTAAGAGTGTGTGTGTGGTACTGAGGATTGAGCCCATGGCCTTACAGATGCTAAAGCAAATTCTACCACTGTGCTACATCCTCAATTATTTAAAAAAAAAATAAAATTAACTTTTGAGACAGGGTCTAAGTTGTCCAAACTTGCCTTGAACTCACTGTTCCCTATACTGGCTTCAAACCCAAGACCAAACTTGCCTTAGCTTCCTGAGTAGCTAGGGTATGCCCTAGCACAAAAATAATCACCAAACCTGGTGTCTGTTTGGTCTTCTGAAGGATACAAATTTGCTGAGCTGCACTAAGCTAGTGGGGGTTCTTTTCACATTAGATGTCAAGTTTTGCTTTACGACAATTAAATCTTTTCAAATACACTAAAATTAACAGCACAGTATGAAGAGAAAACAAGAATTCAAGGAAGAAAGAAAAGGACTTTTATTTCATACCTGTCTTGTTTGATGTTTTCATGAACATGTATTGTTTTTTTAAAAAATAATAAAAATATAATACTCATTGAACTATCAATGAAAATATGACAATATAACTAACCTTATTAGTGGCATAAGGTGATCATTAAACTGTTTGTCAAAAAGATGAAAAATAGTATTGGCCTGTTGTACAACATCCAAAAAATAGAGATTTGCATTCCTAGAATCTGAAGACGGAATTCCTAAAATTGGAAGGCATAGATAAATAAGAAGAAACTGGGCAAAAGGAAAAGAATATTTTTATACGTACATGAATAAAAGTAACTGCTATTAAATCAGCAATGACTCTATAGAAGAAAATGAAGCCTTGTTAACAGTTTAATAAAATTCATCCAAAGCTACTTCTACGCTCAAATTTTAACCACCTTCATGATTTGTTTAGATAAACTAGAAAATACATTAATAAACCACTTTCTCCTTCCTTTTCCCAACACTCTGATACCCAATGAGTCATATGTCCCATACATATACTTCAACCACTTTCCTTATAACCAGGTCTATCTCTGACAACATTTAAAATAATTTTCCTATTGGTCTTCCAGTTCAAATTTTATCCTCTATCCTATATACACTACTGCCAACTTACATGTTTCACTCACCACATACTCCACTCTTTCCTCAAAAATACTCAAATCTCCTCACCACCTCAGAGATGTATCTCCTAATATTCTGTATGATAATCAAACCATTCCACATTCTGACACCAAAAAGACAAAGATGTCAAAAAACCTAAAATCTTCTCTGGATTTCAGTTTCTTCCTTTTCATAAAGAATAATCAGTTTAACTCTAAGCTAATTGCCCTCTTTTCAGCTCTCGATGTTTGAGCTTCTAGCCAAAATGAAAACAGCAGACTAAGAAAAATATTCATAGCTAATGAAAACATGTAACCTAACTACTTAAGAGTTCTTTATAAGATGGTATCTTTTCAACTTTACAAAAGGAAAACAAGGTATTACTTCTTCACAAAAGACAAAATCAATTGGCAGGAAATTTGAAAGTGCCAACACAAACATAAATACAAAAAAGTGAAACACATGTAGAAAATGCTAAGCATATTAACATAAAAAATATTGTCACACGTATCTACCTACTAAAGTATTAAGATTTTAAAAGACTGTTCAATAATATATAGAAAAACTGGTGCACATATATAGGCCAAAATCAGTATAAATTGGTAGGGAACAAACCTTTTAGGAAAAAAGTTACATTAAAATAAATTTTAAAATAATGTTATGGGTAAGGAAAATTATTTCAAAATATGTATAAACATGCTTTGACTTGGGATTTTTACCTAAGGAAATAATTCAAATAAAGAGAATTTATACTCAACAATGCTACTGCAACATTTATTATTACTCAAACCCTGAAAAGATGCAAAATAAATAATAATAGGATAAGGTAACCTTATATGTGGTTGACAAATTTTATGCGATCATTAGGAAGAACTATGAGTACTAACTAGGTACATGGAAAGTAATTATGAATATGAGGAATGTTCCTTTTCTAAATGAAATTTTTTCTAAGCCTTTACAAGTTCAGAAGACTGCTATTAAAATGAAGACCATAGGTTTCCATACAAGCTAAACAACAAATCCTTCATATGAGATTTAAATTCACATTACTTTTTTATTCATTATCTTTAAGTTTTTAAAATTAATTTTATTTTTCATTTTATTTATTTATTTATTTGTGTTTTTGAAGCAGAGTCTCACTGTGTAGCCCCCTCTTGAACTCAAAGAGATCTGACTGCTTCTGCCTACCAAATGCTGGGGCTAAAAGCATGTGCCACTACTTGTGGCATTGTCTTAAAAACAAAAACAAAAAAACCTCACTGTATTATTATTGTGTGTGTGTGTGTATGAGAGAGAGAGAGAGAGAGAGAGAGAGAGAGAGAGAGAGAGAGAGAGATGTATGTGGAGGCCAGAGGACAGCTTTTGAGAGTGAGTTCTCTCCTTCCACCACTAGATTGGGCATCAGTCTTGGCGGCAAGTGCCTTTACTGCTGAGCCATTTCACCAACCCTTATTCATTATCTTCTCTAATTATCACATCTTTGAAGATTTAAGTTATAATCCCAATACAAATTACATTAAGTATTTGCAAATGGCATGGGTTAAATATTTGATGTCAAGTATCTGCTATAATTAAATCTAAAAAATACTATCTAGATTGTTGCATATAAAAATCCAGAGTTAAGCCAAAGTGACTGATTTATGGCTAAATTTGTTTTACTGTTTGAAGCTTTCTAGAATAAGAATAATGTTTTACAAAGCCAATGAAGATTTTCTGAGCATATATCTACTTTCTAGATGGTAGAGTATAATGCTGGGAAAAAAAAAAATCAAGATTCCTACCCTTAAGACCTTATATGCTGTTGTCTACTTAGAATACTCTTACTCCAAATACTTGGTTTACTCACCACTTCATTCAGCTCTCTGGTCAAGTATCTTCTCAGAGCCCTTCTCTGACTACCCTTTTATTAAAAGCTTTTGGGGGCTGGAGAGATGGCTCAGTGGATAAAGGTGCTTGCTGCCAAGCCTGACCACCTGAGTTCGGTCCCTGGAACAAACATGGTGGAAGGAGAGAACCAACTCCTGCAAGTTGTCCTCTGGCCTCCACATATGCGCACATGCATACATACACCCACACAACACTACAAATTTTTAAAAAGAAACAAAAAAAGCTTTCTGCCCATAAATCCTTTACTCTGCCTCCCCATTAGTATTCTCTTGCCCAGTGTTACTTTTCTTCACTGTACTTTCTAATCATTTGTCTGTTGTTTCTACAATATGAACTCCATGAGTTCAGGAATAGACATGTAAAAAGTACATGTTAAATAATGAATTCTGATGAGGGGAGACAGACATTAACAAATAAAAACTTCACTGTGATGAGATTATAAAAAGTAAATTCAATAATGAGATAAAGGATAACTAGGCTATGATAGGAGCCCTACTTTAGCTAGGGTAATTAGCAAAGGTCTCTCTGTGAAGGTGGCCAGAAAGGCTGACAAGCCAAATGTGAGAAGCTGAGGGAAAAGGTTTATGAGATAGGAAAATATCAAGCACAAAAGGCCTAATAGAAAAAGAATGAGGAGCAGATTGACAGGGACTATGTGGGAAAATGCAGCACAGCAATGAACCCTGAAGAAGCAAATCCCCAAAATCACACTTTTCTAAGGAGTTTGTTTTTAACTCCCTTCCCTACCCAAGGAAGTGACTAAAGGGTCTTAAACAAGGAAGTAATATTAAACTGGCTATTACATAACTTGGAAAGACAAGAATGGATAGAGAGACCAGCTAGAAGATGGCAGTGTTTAAATTAGGGTGGCATCAGCAGAGGTGGAGAAAAGCAGGTCAATTTTATGTGGAAGTATATTGAGTGTTTGCTAATGGACTGGCTATCAGCATTGAAAAAAGGGGAAGAATTAATGCAACTTCTAGGTTTGGGGCTTGAACCACTGGTAAACAGCAATATCTCTAAGGACCTAGGAGAAGAACAGTTTTGGAGGAAGATAGAGATTTTTTTTGTTTTATTATTTTGAGACAGGCTCTCACTCGGTTGCTCGGGTTGCCAGGAAATCACTATGTAGTCTAGGCTGACCTCAAACTCATTAGTGATCCATCTTCCTGTCTCCTGAGTTTGGATTAGAGACATGAACCACCATGCCTGGCTCAAGTGTTTAAGTTATGATATGTTAAATTTGAGATACCCACTAAACAGGTAGCAAGGTCAAGTCAGCAACTAGATTAATGAAACCAGAGCTCAGGGAAGATACAGTTAGTCCTCCAAAGCAAGCCCCTCCAATTTTTAATATAAATTTATTCCTTTACAGATTTTTGAATATTTTCCTTTCTAAAATTCATTACTCAACTTCCCAGCCAGAATTAGTCTTATGTCCATGTCTGCTCCTTGACGTTTTAAAGCACAGAGCACTGTACTATACCCTGCCATACACTGTAATTGATGATGGAGTAATGACCTTATTTGCCGGATGCAAACAATGAGAGACTTAGACCTCTGTGTAGGTTTCAGCACCCTGTAAGTTCTTATAGTATAGAAGCTCAAAATTTATTGCGCTGAACTGAATTTAACACATATAAATCATATATAAAACATTATTCACATGCTTTAGCCAAGCAGGATCAAAGGAATTTAACATAAAATATGATAGAAATATACTTACCAGCAAGTCCTGTTTCTAATGCATAATCAATATGCTCAATACATAAAAATTCCACAAGAATGGTAAAAATTTTAAAGGCATTCCTTGGTAAATCAGAAGGATCAGATAGCTTTAAAAATAAGCAAAAACAGTATCACCCTCAAGTCTACATTTTTAAAAGCCAACTTTTAAGAAAGCAATCCATTTTGTATAAAACACAATTTCAGATAATAAATAAGTAACTGTTCACTTCTCACTACCCCACACAATTTCAATGCTCTGTATTGGTCTATAATCTTCTGATGTAGAGCAATGCTTTCCAAAGTTAGATTGTAATCCATGAGTTCAACTATACTTTCAAGAAATACACACACACATATTATGTGCATACTTCACTAACATGTAAAGTCAATTTCTAATTGTAGAGATCATAGTCAAAGAAATTTGAGAGCCACTAGCTCCCAAATTCTAATAAATTCTAATAAAACTCAGAACAAAAAGGATTCTTTATTGCAGGATCAGAATATGAAATCAAATAATGAATACACCATAAACTATAAGAAGATCAAATTCTACCTCATCATGTCCAGGTGGAACAAGCCTTCAAAACGTTATTTAACCTCAAGTCTCAATTTCTTCATATGTAAGATGGTGTAACATTACTTCATTTTTAGTTTTAAGGTCAAAATAAAATACGAAAAATAGAAAATAGAGCAAAAAATACTGTTTGTAACAGTATTTGTTATAAACTAAGCTCAGAATTTTTGTTTTGAGGCTGTTGCTAAACTAATAAAAGAATTGTTAGTAGTTATGCTGAGAAAATGAATCCTTCTTAAAAAGAAAACTATGTCATTTAACTGATTCTACATTATTTATAAATTATTTTCTGCCTTTGTCAAAACTATTCACAGAATCCATTCATGTGGCCTCTCAGGGTAACAGTTACTACAAGATGAGAATTATCCAAAACACTTGGGTCTAGAAATGTTTGGATTTGGGGGATTTTTGGACTATTTGAAATATTTGCAAACACATAATGAAGTATATTGGAAGTAGGACTTAAATCTAAACATGAAATTCACCCACATTTCATATATATTTTACAGTTTAAAGACAATTTTATACAATATTTTTAATGTGCCTGCATTTTGACTGGACCCTCTATCAGAAGTAGAACTTTCAACAGTGACATATTTGTGACCAAGAATGTTGGATTTTGGAGCATAAACAATTCTGGATTTTTTTTCTTTCTTTTTTTTTTTTTTTTTTAATGTGTATGAGTGTATTGCCTGCATGTAGGTAGATGCAACCCGTCCATCCAACGCCCGTGGAGGTCGGAAGAGGGCGTCAGATTGCCCCGGAACTGGAGTTACAGACAACTGTCATTCTCCATGTGGGTGCTAGGAATCAAACCCAGGTCCTCTGCACAAGCAGTCAGTGCTCTTAACCACTGAGCCATCTCTCCAGCACTCAAAGTTCTGGATTTTTAGAATAAGTTTATTCAACCCTAATGTAATGATGTGACAGTAAAACAATTTATGAGGAACTCCAAACAGCACTTTAAACCCCCACTGATAATACATACTAATTTGGTTCCCAAGTTCTCAGTAACTACTCCAGCCTTTACTCCTTATCAATCACTTGATCCTAATGCTCAGTTTCTTCTCCTTTCTTCCTGGGTGCTCAGCAGTTGCTCTCATGTTCACCACAAACCATAAATACTAAACTTAAGTTCTTACCTTCTTACTGTTCACACCCTAAACTTTCTGCATAACAGAAGAGGTAAACAGAAAACCAATAAAAATATAGAAAGCATCAACAACATTATCAGTGGGACCTGACATTTAGAGTATATCAGCCAACAGCATCAAGATACATACTCTTCTCAAGTATAAAGAAAGATTTTCCCCAAATGGACCATACCCTGTACTAAAATCATCTCAATAAAAGGATTCACATCATCCAAAGAACATCCACAGACCAAACAGAAATCATTAACAGAAAGACATCTAGTAAGTCTCCATGTATTTGGTAACCAAACAACATAACATACTTCTCAATCACCTTTACGGTAAGAAAAAAATCAGAGTAATTTTAAAATATTCTAAACTGAATTAAAATAAACTCCAACATACCAAAAATTTTAGGATGCAGCTAAAGAAATATTTCAAAAAAAATTTAAAGAAGAATTTATTACTAAATGCATACACTGGAAAAGGTCAATAAACTCAGTTTCTACCTGAAAAAAAAAAACAAAAATTAGAAAAGGGAAAAGGGGCAAATGACACCTAAAAAAAACTGAAGAAAAATAAAGAAATCAAAGAAATCAAAACAGAAAAATAATAACTAACAAAACCCAAAAGTGATTCTTAGGAAAAAAAATGGTAAATACATCTCTACCAAGATTCATCCAGAAAAAAACATGAAACAAATTACTGATACTGGGAATTTAAAAGGTAGTTATTACTAGAAAAGGGGCAAATGACACCTAAAAAAAACTGAAGAAAAATAAAGAAATCAAAGAAATCAAAACAGAAAAATAATAACTAACAAAACCCAAAAGTGATTCTTAGGAAAAAAAATGGTAAATACATCTCTACCAAGATTCATCCAGAAAAAAACATGAAACAAATTACTGATACTGGGAATTTAAAAGGTAGTTATTACTACATTAAAAAGGAAGTTTTCCAGAAATACAGAAAGGACAGCCAGAAAAATATCACAAATAACTTTATTCCAATAAATACAACTTCTGTGAAATGTAAGACTCTAAAAGCTACAAAAAAACCTAAAGATCACCTGAAATTAGATTACCCAAATAGCTCTATATACAATATATATACATTTAACTTTTAATTAAAAATCCTCAAAAAGAAAACTGCAGCCCCAAATAACTTTGCTGGTGAATTACAGCAAACATTTAAGGCAAATAATATCAATGAACCCATTAATTTCCCCCCAAAATCAAAAGGTTGGAGGTATGTATACTTTCAAATTCATCCTATGAGGGGAACATTACCCTGATATTAAAACAAGACAAAGGCATTAAAGGCCAATACCCCTCATAAACACCAGTGCAAATATATTTAACAAATGTAGCAAACATGGGTCAGGAGATGGCTCGGAAGGTAAAGACACCTGATGCCAAACCTAAGTTCAATCTCTGGGACCCACATGGCAGAAGCAGAGAACCAATTCCCTTAAGTTTTCCTCTAATCGCCAACACACATCACACGTGCGTGTGTGTACACACACATACACACACACACACACACACCCTTAAATAAACAAATGTGGCAATTATTTTTTAAATTTAGCGAACATACCCAACAATATATAAATAGGACAATAGGAAAATAGCAAGGGATGATCAACTAGAGTTTATCAAAGGAATGTAAGGCTAACGTTTGAAAAACCAGTCAATATGACTCATCAATACAATAAAAGTATTTAACAAAACCTAACAATTTTTTTTAATTTTGTTTGTGACAGGGTCTCATGTTACCTAGGCTGCCTTCAAACTCTTTTTTTTTTTTTTTTTTTTTTGGTCTTTTTGAGACAGGGTCTCCCTGAAGTCCCAGCTAACCTGAACTCACTATGTAGACCAGGCTGGCCTTGAACTCACAAAGATCCACCTGCCTCTGCCTCCCCTAAAGGCATACGCCACCTCACCCAGCAATTCAAATTTTTATGTGAAGGAGGACAACCCTAAATTCCTGATCGTCCTAACTCCACTGCCCAAGTGCTAGGATCCAACACCTAATCTTTATAGACACTTTAATAAACTATCACAAAAGACCTTCTTCAATCTAAAAGTATCTATGAAAAACCTATCATTAGCATTACATTAACAGCACTTTATAGCAAAGATCAGGCATAACGACGGTACTTGTTCACTGCACTTCTACTTCATACTGTACTGCAAGTCTGGCCAGGGCAACAAGACTAAATAATAAAATGAAAGGCATCTAAATTGAAAAGGAACAAGTAAAACTGTCTTTGTGGCCAAACAGTGTTAATAGTCTATATAAAAGATCGAGTGAAATATATTTTTTTAAAAGAAACTATTAGAATTAAAAAGTTTAGGTTGCACAACACATAAAGGTCAACATATAAAAATAGGCTGTTGTATTTCTACATACTAAAATGAAGTCAAACTAAGTTTTTTAAAATTTTTTGTTTTTTGAGACAGAGTCTCACTTTGTACTCCGGATTGGCCTGGAGTTCACAATGTAGCCTGACTGGCCTTGAACTCATACAGTCCTGCCTTAGCCTTCCTCTTCCTAGATAAAAAGCATGGACCAACAACCCAGATGAAAATATCTTTATATTATAATATATCACTTGGTTCCACATAGAATTATAGATTCACTCTCATCCCAATCAAAATCAGACTTTCCCCCTCAAGAAAATGATAAGCTGTTAGGAGAGTTGTATGAAATACAAAATGGTCTATATGGAAATGCTAAAGGACTTATACTACTTGATTCAGGCCTACAATGTCACAGCAACTAAAATAGCACAGTGCTGGCATGAAGATAGATGCAACAGAATAGAGATTAGAAACAAACTTTAAATAAGAAGTCAACTGCTTTTTTATCAGGGTGAAAAAGCAACTGAGTGGAGAACAGTCTTTCTAATGGTAAAACAAAGAGACACTTAAGTGTAAAAATATGAACTATAGAGGCTAGAGAGATTGCTCAGTAGTTAAGAGCATATACTGCTCTTGCAGAGGACCTATGTTCAGATCCCAGTACCCATGTGGAATGGTTCACAACCACCTGTAACTCATGAGGGGATCCAACACCTCTGGCTTCTGTAGGTACCTGCACTCATGTACACATACCCTGCCCCCATGAGGTACACACATATAAACATAATTTAAAATAATTTTTAAAAACTATGCACTTCTCATACAATTATACAATATTCATAAATTGACTCAACACTGGGCAATCTTTATAACTTTTAATTTCACCAAGATTCTTCTCCAACAAGGGAAATGTCATTCATAACAAAAATATTAAATTGCATTTTATCAAACTTAAGAACTTCTATCCTTTGAACCATCAGAGAAAGCTAAGATTAAGTAGACAAGTCAGTCACAGAGTGAAAGAAAAAAGTGCAAAT